CACTGTATATATATATATATAAAATACAGGGCAAGTTTAAATTTATTGGCAGCAACACATAAAAAAAAGTTAATAGAGGATCAGACAAAAGTCTGGAAAAATAAGTGGTAGAAACACCCAGAGGAGCGTTTTGCAGCTAATAAGATTAGTTGACAACAGCACTGGGTATAAAAAGAAACATTTTAGAGAAGTTGAATGTCTTAAAAGTAAAGACAGGCAGATGTTCATCAGTCTCTGAAACAATTTCAGACCAATGTTTCTTACCCAAAAATTGGTAAGACTACATCAAATCCATAAATACATTTTTTATTTAAAGAAAATGGTACAATTTCTTCTTTTAAACRTTTAAAATGTATACTATTGTAAATAAAATATTCTCATTACACAGCTTTGTTAGAATTGAGGCTGTGCATCAGTGTGTAGGTACACACGAGGACATGATGCAGTCTGTTAACCCTACCCTAACATATTTTAACAGATATTTTATTGTCTTTAATGCTGTTTATGTCGACATTTGGTGCACTTGTCATAGCAATAAKTTTACTAAAGTCTTGTAGCTATTGGAACGACTTAAAATAAACAATAGAGAAGCAGTGCAGGTAAGTGTTAAATGTGATATTATTAAGTGGAGGACCTGACAAGAATGCTGATTATTAACTTAAGATTCTGTTAATTTAAAAAAACACATTTTTGTCTGAGATGGRTGTCAGGAAGCCTGAAATTTATGGTTCGTGTTCACATCCCGGTCCTGTCGTCGTCTCTTTCAGAATCCTCGTTTCCCCGGTAACCTGCAGATGTCAAACAGGCAGCTGGAAGAGGCGGGCGAGAACGACGTGAACAACTTGTRAGTGTTTGCTGCTGCCGTCATAATAATGATTTTAACTGATTTGTGGTGATAAGTGTGAAACCACACTTCACCTATAGTCAGACAGGGATTAGTTACAGCATGGACAGATTGTTTTATGTGTTTTTTCTGAAAATATTTGTTTGACAAAGTCATAGTTGAACCCTTGTTTTAATGCTCACTGTGGTTCTTTTAATTCAGACTCATAGCATGTTTTGATAAAAAAACAAATGGCAAGAAATTCAGAAATCCTCTGCTTCTCACTATTTGTCAGAGGTTAAAACAACAATTTAACTTCTATATTTAGAGACAGATTATTAGATAAAATGTAAAGTTKAAGTCCTGTTTGTGTAGTATTACATCATAGGTTTCGATTCTGAGCATTTTAACATTTGTGAGTCAGGAAGGAAGCCCTAATTATCTGTATTTAAAGATTAAATCCATAATCTGGTCCTCTGTAGCTTCCAGCTGACAGTGGAGATGTTCGACTATCTGGAGTGTGAGCTCAACCTCTTCCTCGGTGGTGAGTTATTCTGGTCTGCTCTGCCTCTGAGCTTATCTGACCTCACACACACACAGATTAATGAACTGGCACTCCGACAGACACAGGAAGTCACAGTCTGACTGATAGGTGCACAGAAACAGACGTTGTGACTCACATCAAACACAGGAGCTGCAGCACAAAGCCAGCCGGTCTTCTGCCGAGTCATTCCAGGTTAATGTTTGTTAAAGTGTGGACCTGAGTTAAAAATAGGCTGCTGGGATGTGACCGGCAGGAATAATGGGAAAGCTTCATGCCTCCAATCACCAAGGAGGAGGAGGAAATTACATTTTGCCTTCTATTCATCACACCCTAATCCAGTTAGGTCCTCCTCCTTTTCTAAAGAAATTTATTTACCTGCCAGAATCAAGTTTCTGCATTTGTGTTTTGGACAACCAGACCCCACCTTAACTCGTATAATTAGATATTTTTTAATGTTTCAGTGTCGAACGTGATCAGTTGTACCAATAAACAGGGGCGCTGTATAGGGGGAAAAGTTAGGACAATTCCAAGGGCACTTGACTGATAGGGGCCTCCACAAAAATAAAAAATAAAAAAGAGACAAAATTGTTGGGGGCCCCTATCTATAACAACATTAATGAAATCTTTTATTTTTGTTTTCGGTAGTAAAAGTTAAATGTTACCACTCCCATACCAAAAGGAAAACAACCATTTTTTACTGAACACCCCCTCTGTATCTGCATAAAATGGTTTGTTCCTGCAGAAGACGTTTAGCAGCTTTCAGTAAAATCAGAGAATAACGGAGCATGTTATGCTGTCTAGAACATTAATAAAATTATCATAAAAGAGGACTTAATTAAAAAAATTCCAGTTTAGTCATGGCCGTTAAATAACATCTATAGTTACAGATTTTATTATTCCCATCATTATTTGAGAATTAACGTATTTTTTTCCGAGCCGTCTTTAAACGCACCATGAGCATGCGACGCTACACCTGTAAATSGAGAGGAGACCTCCTGCCGAGCAGAGCGGCAGGGTGTCAAACCAGCGAAACAAAAGTAAAAGACTTTGTAATTTTTTTCCAAACAAACCTTGAATGTTGACTAATTCTGTTGGAGGCAGATAATGTTAGCGAAATGATCCAAATATATCATGTTTAGCTAGTTAACAAGATTAGACACAGTTGTTACTTTTTTTACATACTTGCTAGTTAGTTAATGTTATGGATAAATAAACCCAGTCCTTTATTATTTCTGTGCAGAAGTTGTGCTGGCTTGCTTTCCACGTATTTRAAATAAATGTTTGCCACCACAGAAAGAGCAAAGTCAGGGAGGAGACATGATGCAGGCTTTTCTCAGGTAAGGACAGATTATAACTTGCTGCAGGGAGAAACCAGGCAGGTATCAGGACAGAGTTTTCACAGATATTTAAGAATTGCTCTTATTCACACTCCAAGATATATATTTTTATTTATTGTTTCTACTTTTGTCCAAAATAAATCTAGAATAAAATAATTTTGTTATTTAATTAACAAAAAAATGATTATCTTAGTTCAAAAGCAAAACGCAACGTGAAAGATTTGAAGAAAAATGTGTTTACTATTTATTATTTTCATATATTACCTAACTACKGCATTATTTGTGTTCTTAAAGGCAGCAGGTACAGGTCATGCTATTTTCTTTATTTTCATTAGTTTTTCACATCTGTGCGGACACATTTTACTAAAATGTGTTTAGTGCTGCGTCACTTTAAGTGTTTATGCTATTTAAATAAATTATGTGGCCTTTTACCCTACTACATTCTTAATTTTACTCCATTTTGTGAGCTAAGTAATCTTTTTTACAGGAATGGTGTTTGCCATTTAGCACTGGCTTAAAGTTTACATTTTGTTAGTATATAGTTTAAAGAATTAAAAGTAAATCATCTGGAGCTGTACTGTGGTTGTTAGTAATTTTATGTGTTTTTAACGACAAAGTAAAGGTGTGATTTAATGAGAGAGGGTGATAAATCACTCAAAATACCTCTGAAAAATGTATCTCCTCACTTCTGAGATGATGGTTATGCCCTTGTTCATACTATATGCAGACTGTTGCATATACTATTCACCAGCAGTAAATATTGTGCTACTACCAGTTTTGCACCAAAGGAAGCAGGACAGTTGCAGTTAAGTTAGTTTTGTTAGTCAGAGGCAGGTTCTGATATAAACACTGAACTAAACAAGCACATCAGATAATTATTTAATCAGCTCTGATTGAACAACTTCAGAATCGACATGTTAGAAGTAGCATCCATGTTTAACTACTTCTGTAAACATCATGTGACGTCACATCTTTATCTGCATGCGGATCACATCAGGGCTGTGGAGAGTTCACACTGGAGTCTGATGGATGTTACATTTAAATTGTAATGTGAACATTCATGCCAAAAAAAATCAGATTTTTTTTCAAAGAAATAGAATTGAACATTAAGTCCTGCAGTGTGAACGAAGTCTTAGATTCTAAAGATGTGGTGAGAGCAGCTGTGCGAGGGGGCCCAATTAGATTTTTCATCATGGGGCCCAAAATTGCTGGCGACACCCTGCCAATAAATATGAAACATTAGTGTGTCTACTCAGAAATCAGAAAGCTGTTGCCTCCTTATTTCTCCACTCTGGTGTATTTTCAAAGCATCACGTCATGTGGGGATGGTGTGTGTGTGTGTGTGTGTGTGTGTGTGTGTGTGTGTGTGTGTGTGTG